GCCGTAGCGGCGTGGGCATTTTTCTCGACACCATAGGGGGTGCGCACGGGGTGGTTCCCCCTATCCGCGACCGGTTCGTCCAGGGCGTTGCAGGCGTCGGCAGTTTCTCGACACCATAGGGGGTGCGCACGGGGTGGTCCCCCTATCCGCGCCGGTCGTCCAGGCCGTAGCAGGCGTGGCAGTTTCTCGACACCATGGGGGTGCGCACGGGGTGGTCCCCCTATCCGCGCCGGTCGTCCAGGCCGTAGCAGGCGTGGCAGTTTCTCGACACCATAGGGGGTGCGCAGGGGGTGGTCCCCCTATCCGCGCCGGTCGTCCAGGCCGTAGCAGGCGTGGCAGTTTCTCGACGCCATAGGGGGTGCGCACGGGGTGGTCCCCCTATCCGCGCCGGTCGTCCAGGCCGTAGCAGGCGTGGCAGTTTCTCGACACCATAGGGGGTGCGCAGGGGGTGGTCCCCCTATCCGCGCCGGTCGTCCAGGCCGTAGCAGGCGTGGCAGTTTCTCGACACCATAGGGGGTGCGCAGGGGGTGGTCCCCCTATCCGCGCCGGTCGTCCAGGCCGTAGCAGGCGTGGCAGTTTCTCGATACCATAGGGGGTGCGCACGGGGTGGTCCCCCTATCCGCGCCGGTCGTCCAGGGCAGAGCAGGCGTGGCACTTTCTCGACACTTAGGGGGTGCGCAGGGGGTGGTCCCTGAGCGCGGCCGCTATCCGAGACGGTCGTCCAGGGCATAGCAGGCGTGGCACTTTCTCGACACCATAGGGGGTGCGCAGGGGGTGGTCCCTGAGCGCGGCCGCTATCCGAGACGGTCGTCCAGGGCATAGTAGGCGTGGCACTTTCTCGATTCCATAGGGGGTGCGCAGGGGGTGGTCCCTGAGCGCGGCCGCTATCCGAGACGGTCGTCCAGGGCATAGTAGGCGTGGCACTTTCTCGATTCCATAGGGGGTGCGCAGGGGGTGGTCCCCGAGCGCGGCCGCTATTCGAGACGGTCGTCCAGGGCATAGCAGGTGTGGCACTTTCTCGACACCATAGGGGGTGCGCAGGGGTTGGTCCCTCACCGCGGCCGCTATGCACGACGGTCGTCCAGGGCATAGCAGGTGTGGCACTTTCTCGACATCATAGGGGGTGCGCAGGGGGTGGTCCCTCACCGCGGCCGCTATGCACGACGGTCGTCCAGGGCATAGCAGGCGTGGCACTTTCTGGACAAAATAGGGGGTGCGCAGGGGGTGGCAACGGCCACCAACATCATTCTTACATGCTTCACTTCAGCTATCATCGCTCCAGCCATAATATAAGTATGTGGGGTTCCTCGGCAGCGTAATTCTCGTATTGATCGTGTTTATTCATCCTTGCATCCCGCTCTGAATCACACTAGGAAGGTGAATTACCACGTCTTGGATCGCTGGCCGCATCTATCTTCGCATCGACCCGTGTCTTTTGCATTGAGCCGCAGGGTGGAGGCCCCCGTATTCAGAGTGCCTGCGTGGATCTTTTCACACGAGCTCTCCTGCCAAGAGGTGTTCGCGGAGTACCAGTTCGAGGTGGCACGTTGTTCGAGAGATGCTTTCGCAAAGCTGGGGCTGTTCAAGCTTGCTGTGAAAAAGGCTGTTAAGTTCACGAAAGCGAGAATCAGGAACGCACCTGCGTCCACAACAGAAGAGAAGCTTTCGGCATGCGTGGGGTTCTCGAGGGCGCTGGACCGCAATGACTGGAAGAACGCTGGGCGCATTCAAGCCTCATGCCCCCGTCTTCGGGGCGTGCCGGTGGACCAAGGGGCTGCGGCGACGCAGGCCTACAGGGATTTGCTGGCCCATTTGCAGGAACTTGGGCACGTCTCTGTTAAAGAGCGCGTGGACGAGCTGAAGCGGGTGCGCAAAGGCATGCCGGAGATTGTGTATAAGCAGAGGAAGGACGGCATTCTTTCCTCTCTACGCCGTTTGCTCCCTGGCGCTACTTGCGGTCTCTCGGCCGTCAGGGATCGCAGTGGAGGTATTGTTTCAGAGCCGGAGGCGCTAGCTACTGCACTGACGTCATAGTGGCAAGCGGTTTTTGATCACAAGCCCACGGATAGTTCTCTGCGACGCCGGTGGTTCGACCAGCTATCGGACAAACTGCGAGTGGATTTGTCTGACCTCTGCCCTACTCTGGAGGACGTGCGAAATATCTTCGAGCTCTTACCCAAGTCTTCTCCTGGACCAGATGGTATCCCTTTCGGGGTCTACGGGAGGTTTGCAGATATTCTTGCGCCCGTATTCTTCGAAATTGTAAAGGCATGATCCAGGGTGCCATCACGCCGCCGTGCGACTTCACTTGGGCATTTCTTATCTGTCTTCCAAAGGGCCGCGGCGACCTGCACGGAGGAACCGAAGTGCACGACATTGCCGGGGCCCGCTCGTTGTCCATAGTCGACGCTTCTAACAGAATCATAGCTTCGATTTTCCGCGTGGCCTTGGAGAGGAAATTTGCTGATTGGGTTTCTGCTCCTCAGCGGGGCTTTTTGGTAGGCAGACAGATGCTACGCAACGTGGTCGATGTTGATTTCGCGGCGCAGAAGATCAGCATTTCATCGCGGAAGGGTGCCATCGTGCTGTTTGACTTCAAGGCGGCGTTCCCCAGCCTGTCGCACGACTACATGTGGGGCGCCCTGGAGGCCATCGGGTTGCCGCCCCGCTACATCGACGCACTGCGCATGTTCTACAAGGACAACAAGCGCTGGATCAAAATCGGCAGCTCCGTTTTCGAAAACGTCAATGTGCGCAGTGGTGTGCGCCAGGGCTGCCCATTATCGCCTCTGCTGTTTGTGCTTTGCGCCGATATCATGCTCCGCCGCATATCCTCGCATTTGGGCTGCGGGGAGGTTGTCCGGGCGTTTGCAGGCGACACTGCTGTGGTGCTAAGAGACTACACAATATCCTTCCCCTGCATTGGTAAGGCGTTCTGTGAATGCGCCCGCATATCTGGTCTGGAGCTCAACATCCAAAAGACTGTTGTCATCCCGTTGTGGAAGGTTGCTTGCGCAGACAGACTTCGAGCTCTCATCGCAGAGGCGTGCCCCTCCTGGCGTCCAGTCTGCATCTCATCGTTCGGAAAATATTTTGGCTTCGTGCTGGGTCCAGGAGCGGAGGGAAAGTCATGGGGCAAACCGTTGGAAAAGTTCTGCGCTCGGGCATGCCAGTCGGCGTCTCTCCACCTGGGTATGTTCTACCACGTCCGGGCGTTTTATATTTACGTCCTCCCCGTGCTCTCCTTCGTCATGCAGCTGGAAGACGACAGCAATGACGCAGCCGACAGCTTCCGAAGGGTTCTACGCGCGCTTGCTCCCGGTACGGGCTCTTGGGTCACTCCCGAAGACTTGACTCATCTTGCTGACTGTTATTCCTTTCCGTTGCAGTTCGTGGACCCCGCTTGGATTGCTCTGGCGGCCAACTTAAGGGTTGTCGAACAAGTCGCAGCAGATTGCGGCGAACGTGCCGCAGAACTAGCAGAGCTGCAGGCGGAGTGCGGGGGCCTCCCTTTCGGGTCCTGGCATCATAAGTGTTATTTCTCTGTGCTGTCGCAAGCAGAATCTCGCGTTTCAGGGTGGGGGGTGTCGCGGCGACGGATTCGGCGTGCTCTGGAGGAGAAACCGGGATCTTCGTCCCAGGCTATCGCTCAGCAGTTCATCTGGCACGCGGCGGAGCGCCCCTACAATTCTGAGCACCGTCTAAGAGTGAAGCTCGCTAAGTGGAACCTATCCGGGCCTCCTGGCACAGTGGCGCGCCGTGCGCAAGGGCGGCTACAGACCGTGGCACTCCACTGCCCGCCGCGGGTGCTGTCAGCAGTATTCAGAACATGGTGGAATGGGTGGGCGACCGTGCGCAGGATGCGCCATGTGGCGGGCAGCGCATGGTGCGGGACCTGCACGCTCGGGTGCACAGGGGCGCAGGACAGTTTGGAACACTACTGCCAGTGCCCGGTCTTCTGGCAATGGGCATTGTCTCCCTGGCCGCGCGGCCTTGGCTTGGCACCGCGGCTTCGCTCTCGCGAATCTTTCTTCCTGCTCGAAAGCGGCATGACCTTTCAAGACATCATCCGCATGAGTTCTGGCGTCTAAGCGCTGTTCCGCGCGGTCAGCGGCGGTGGCGTGCAGGCGAGCGCGGCGAAAAACACGCGCGCCCTACTGTATCTGTGGCGATGCAGAGCGGGCGAGTAGATCTGCGGTGGGCCCGATGCGGTTGCCTGGAGTGCAATCATCCCACTGCAGGCTGGCGGGCCCGATGCGTTTGCCTGGAGTGCAAGCATCCCGCTGGCGCGCGGCAGGCCCGATGCGTTTGCCGGCGTGCAAGCGTCCTGCTGCGCCACCGCCTTGCGGCGGCCCTGTTGCGCACGCGTGTGGGAGTCGAGTTTGGCTTGGTCCTGGATGGAAGAATCATCATTCTCATCATCATCAGCATCATAATTCTCATAATCATCATAATCATTACCTCCACGCGCTTTCACACATTCCACGCACTGACACACGCACACACACAAACACACACACACATACACACACACACACACGCACACGCACACGCACACGCACACGCACACGCACACGCACACGCACACGCACACGCACACGCACACGCACACGCACACGCACACGCACACGCACACGCACACGCACCACGCACCGCACACGCACACGCACACGCACACGCACACGCACACGCACACGCACACGCACACGCACACGCACACGCACACGCACACGCACACGCACACGCACACGCACACGCACACGCACACGCACACGCACACGCACGCACGCACACGCACACGCACACGCACACGCACACGCACACGCACACGCACACGCACACGCACACGCACACACACACACACACACTCACTTCGGAGATTGCTCTCGCTCGGAAGCTGGACGTCATCACGCTGATGGTGGACCTTCTCAAATGCTTCGAGATGGTGGCGCCCGAGGTTCTGGTTCGAGAGGCGATGGAGGTCAACTTCCCGCCCAGGCTGGTATGGCTACTCATCCAGCTCTATCGGCAGCCACGCGTCGTTCGAGCACACGGCAGCAACAGCGAGTTCTTCATCTCCTTCCAAGGCATCGTGGCAGGATGCTCTCAGGCGACGACCCTCCTTGCTGTGCTGATGCACAGGTCCATGCTGAGAATGTGCGCGCTGTGCCCGTCGCTCAAGCCTAGGCAGTTGGTCGACGACGTCTCCCTCCAGTGGACTGGGCATGCCAAGCACTGCGCGAACGAGTTGGGCGAGGGCATCGATCAGCTCAAGTTCGAGCTCCAGGGCCTCCAGCTGCCCATCCAGATCGAGAAGCTTGGCTACGTCGCCTCTTCCAGCCGTGTCAGCAGGGCCTTCCGCTCGGCGGCGCGAGCCAGGCAGGTCATGGGCTTGCCGTGGATTCGGAACCTTGGCCATGAGCTAGCTGGCCCCAAGGTGCGACGGCAACAAGAGGCAGCACGACTACAGCAGCTTCGAGGACGGGTGCGACGCACCCTCGTACTCAAGGAAGCTGTGGGGGCCAGCCGTATCACGCGGATCCAGGCCGCTGGGATCACGCCGTCCGTCACACACGGGGCCTCGGTCAGCGGGGTCTCAGACGCGGTGCTCAAGCCGATCCGCTCGATCGCTGCGCTGCTGGCAGGAGTGCGCCCGACGGGCAGCATATGCATGGGCATGCTCATGCAGGACCAGACCCACTACGATCCACTGTATGCGGCGACCACCAACATTGTCTTCATGTATGCGAGCATGCTGTGGGAAGGTCGGCTGGGAATGCAAGCCCTCGGTGGCGCTTGGGAGTTCGTCAACGGGCAGATGAGCGCTCAGCCTAGCTGGAGCCGAGTGCGTGGCCCACTCGGGGCTCTGTGGCTCACCTTGCATCGGATCGGCTGGCGGCTTACCTCAGCGACCACCTTCGAGTCCGACCTTGGCACTGTCCTCGACCTGAATCAGATGGCGCCCAGAGACGTTCGAGACCAGGTCGTCCAGGGGGTCACGCGCTGGCTGCTGGCGCGCGCGGAGAGCCACATCGAGACACACAATGGCGAGCAGTTCTGGTACCGCGGCATCAGGAGGTGCGTGGAGAAAGCAGTTCGGGACCCTTCCGAACGCGGCTCGCTGCAGTGTGTCTGGACTGATGCGATGTGGCCTCGGCAGAAAAAGTACGAGAAACGCTTGATTGACTGTGGTAAGTGCCTGGCATGCGGTGCTGAGCGTGAGACAAACGCCCATCGTCTGTACAAATGCCCCGCCCTCCTGGACCCCGCCCTCCACGAGTCGGCCCCGTCTGAAGCGATTCTCAAGGCCCGTGAGCGTCTCGATCGCCTTGCTTGGGAGTCGGCCCAGGATGATCCGCATGAGTCTGTGCAGTTTGCGTGCGCTATCCCGTTGCAGCCTCCTGCCTCCGAGAGGCCTCCCATGTGTCCCGATGTCGTGCACCATTGGGGAGAGGCCGAGATTCCGTGGGGCGGTAGGCTGTATATCGATGGTGGCGGTTTCGGCATGGATACTCCTGAGATCGCTCGATGCTCCTGGGCCGTTGTACAGTTGCGAGACGACGGCTGGCCCTGTAAGGCAATTTTCGGCTCTCTCCCAGGAGTGCAGACAGTGGCGAGGGCTGAAAGATATGCGGGACTCGTCGCCACTTGCCTCTCCCCACAGGTGTCGTGCTTGATTTCTGATCATTTAAGTTTTGTGGGGGAAGGGCAACGGCGGGGCCCTGGAGATGCGTCCGCTTCGGCCCGCCACGCTGCACTTTGGAGAGCGCTACGCGCCACTGTGGCCCGCCAAGACAGGCGGCCGCCCTCGTTCGGATGGATTCCCTCGCATAAATCCTTGGCCCAGGCTATTGAGCTTAACCTTGATCTCCAGGACTGGCTTGGAAACAGTTGGGCTGATCTGTTTGCTAGTGTTGCTCTAGACTTAGCCGGCCCAGCTAAGAGCCTGGTTCGTAACATCCAGATTCGTATGGAGGAGGCCTGCCTTAATGCTAAATTCGTTGCCTGGGCGGCTGCTCGTGTGGCTGGTTCGG